GATAATACAATAATAATAATAATAATAATAATAATAATAAGAAGAAGAAGAAGAAGAAGAAGAAGAAGAAGAAGAAGAAGAAGAAGAAGAAGAAGAAGAAGAAGAAGAATGATAATAGAATAATAAAATAATAAATTAACAATAAAAATATAAATAAATAATAATAATAATAATAATGATAATGATAATGATAATGATAATGATAATGATAATGATAATGATAATGATAATGATTATGATTATGATTATGATAATGATAATGATAATGATAATGATAATGATAATGATGAGGATGATGATGATGATGATGATGATGATGATGATGATGATGATTATAACAACAGCAGCAACAACAACAGCAACAATAACAATGACAACAACAACATAACAATATGAGTGATAATAATAACAGGAACAACAACAATAACAACAGGAAGAGCTGGAGCCGGGCGCAGGACGGCTACTCTGCGGCGCAGCACAAGCACTGGAGACTCAGCACTCCGCAGCACCCGACGCCAGGGACCTGTCTGCCTGCGCGGTGCCTCCGGTGCCTCGCAGTCGTGCTTGGCCAGCGCTTGCGGCAAGAACCAGAGTTCGGGTACGTTGCTCTTAGCTTTTGTTAAGCATCGCTATCGTATTAAATGCTTGGGGAAAAGAGGTAATTGGTGATGTAGACAAGTCGTGATAGCTGCCTACGAGGTAAACTTCCCGGATTATGATACAAACATCAAAAGCGTGATACATACATACAGACACAGACACACACACACACACACACACACACACACACACACACACACACACACACACACACACACACACACACACACACACACACACACACACACACACACGAGTTTGCGACCCAGTACTGAGGCCCGATTAGCACTTCACAACTCTGTTCTACGGACATGTTAGAGAGAGAGAGAGAGAGAGAGAGAGAGAGAGAGAGAGTGAGTGAGTGAGTGAGTGAGTGAGTGAGTGAGTGTGTGTGTGTGTGTGTGTGTGTGTGTGTGTGTGTGTGTGTGTGTGTGTGTGTGTGTGTGTGTGTGTGCGTGCGCGCGCGCGCGCGGGCGTGCGTGCTGATATCGGGTTGAGAGAAAAGTACGATAAAATGGACATATTGGGTCGTGAAGGAAGGCCATATGATAAAACTGCGTCGTGCTAAAAAAAAAAGTCTGAAGAACCCTTCCGTGGAGGAACAAGCATTTTCGGCCGCGGAACGATACGGAAGGATGGCCAGTTCTCCTCTGGCTTTATTGGCGTGCGAACTTCCGTACATGTGCGTGTGCATGTGTGGTGATACCGAGACCTACATTATACTTTTTGGGGTGGGTGGGGGGGGGGGGCGCTTGAGGAGGGGAGACGAATAGGGAGATAGAAGGGGCACTGACTATATATGTGGATGGGGGGGGGGGTGTTGCGACATTAGCTAATTGACCTTGATATTACTGATAAGGTGGCGATGATATCGTCTCCATACTGATCATACTTGTTATTTTTGTTATTTTAGTCATCGGCAACACTGATCTCCCAGGTTTCAATCACTTTCTCCGTTGTAATGCACGATTCATCGTGGAATTAAGTCCAAGTAGTGTGAAGTACAGATGCAGATGTTCCGATAACATCTTCGTTTTACGAAATCACAACGCTATTGGCACTGGATTTCCCTCGCGCCCTATACTCTCCACCTTCATGAGGAAACACTGTATGGAAATGCCCCTACACCCCACTACTTTACCCGGGCATAAAAGGGAAATTGCGGGATGCCATATGCAGGAAGGATGGAGCGAGAGCAAGATCTATATAACAACTTTCTGACCGTAAAAGTGTATCACCGTTCACAAGACCCTTAGGCGTACCATGACAGGCAGTATGGTTGCAATGGTTTTCAATTTCTGTGGATTACGACAAGGCAACATCACTAGAGCAATTTTGCGACGCGTGAGAGAAGCTGAATCGAGTTCTAAAATCTGATTGACTGTCAATTATTTGCTACTGTTAGATGAGCACTTTCGGCACAATGATCTGTAGGTCTATATCCATCAATTTGTGTATGTCTGTATGGTCGATCGGTCGGTCTCTCGGCTGGTCGGTCTGTCGGTTTCTCTGTCTCTCGGTCGGCCACAAGGGTCACTTTATCAAGATGAAATATTTACATCAATGCACTTGGGCATACTGGACTGGACCAAAAGCTTGCATTTTCTGCCACTTCAATTATCTCTATCCAGAAGAGCTTTTTCACATGTGTATTCAAGATCATGTAAAGAATATTTATAAAATAATGATAAAATACAGTGGGCCTAAATCTAATGCCACGTTGCCTAGACCTACAGATTCTACAGGTCGCCTCCTCCCCCTATATAGTAGGAAGACTCACGGTCCTAATCATTCACAGCACTTGAGAGACACTACCCAGATTAGTACTCAGGCATCTTAGCCCACTCAGCCATTGAGCTCATAATGTTTAAATACTAAATTGAAAGCCAGGATCTATACAATTTGAACATCACATTGTAAATTAATATCTCCATCAAAAAGTAATAAATTTGTTGATAAAATAGAAGGCAAGCATCTGAATGCAGTAGTTCCTAATTTTTTTTGAGTAATGGTACCAATACTCACATAGCCTGCTCCCTTCTGTAACATCCTTTTCCTGAATCCCCCAACCACTCCATGAACTTCCACTTATTGCAGAAAGCACTTAGCCAGTTTCACAAATTACTGCCACCCAAAATAAGACAAGCATAGACTAGGCCTCTAAAACCAAATGACAAAAATAAAACTCATCAAACAAATAAGAGTAATTAAATAATCAAATACTGGGATCTTGCAGTTCCCAATTTGTTCTTATCTGATGTCATATCAAATCATCTTGTAAATCATAAAGTGAAAATAATATAGTAAAGTAATTATCAAAACTACATTCAAAATAGTTAAAAATTAACCTAATATCAACTAAAAATAATCACAAAACATCAGGCACATGCAGCCACCAGCCTGTCTCTGGCCCTCCATCAAATGGGTAACACCCATTACATCCTGCAATATTACCATATTCTGATTTTGATTCTCATTCTCATTCTTATTATAACCATTACTATTACTATCATTTCCCATAACATATTACTATCATTATCATTATTAAAACTATCATATCCCTTAATAGATTTTTATTGTCATTTTTATTATTAGTGATATCTTTTCCCACAAGACTGAAGATTTTGCCAAA